CCATGAAGTATGCTGCTGGGATCTCAATTGGAATTGCATTGAATCTATATAGCAGTTTTGGAAGTATGGCCATTTTCACTATATTGATCCTTCCTACCTAGAAACAGGTGATGACCAGACATTTTTCTTACATCCATTTAGGAGATAGCATTGTTGCCCAGTTTCATGGAGCTTTGCTGTACACATCAGCATTTTGAAGTTTTAGAAAAGTCTTATTGGAAAGCAGACTACTGAACGTTGTTTAACTGAACACTTTCCAGACTGAATGGTCTGTAGATCACTTTTTCATATAACAAAACTTATGAGCATCCCTCCAGACACTCTTTGGAAGATACTGATCCGGTGGAATCCCTTCTTTTTCCTGCTGAGTCCCATAGAGGTTGAGTAATTTACCCAAGGGAAGGTCACAGAGCTAATTGATATCAGATTCAAGTGTAGTATTCTAGAGTTTTCAGACCTTTGGGTGGTGCTTTCCATGACACATCACACCTTCTATAATGGCTGCTGCATTAGTGACTCCCCATCTGGGTTCTTCATGCCAGCACAGTATCTTCATGCTAATGAGGCGATCCAGACACCAGACTGTTGAGAGTTGGGATGACACACCTGAGTTGGTAAATTGTTGCATGCAAAACCAATAAGAGCTAATTCTTTCCCTCTGAAAAATGTAAACAAACTCCCTCCCCTTCTTATCATCTGGGCCCTGATAAACATATACCTTATGTATGTGCTCAGTAGGAAACTAAAGAAGGCCCAAACAGACAGAACTTCAGGAGCATTTTCCTCACTGCTGTCCTGGCCATTATTACATAGAGAGAAAACTTTCATTTATCACAAGTGTAAAGGGCAGCAACCTTGTAGATAATCCAAACCAATTGGAAATAGTTAAACAAGACACAAAATACTCACAAACACACACACACGCACACACACACACACACACACACCCTTTGGTACCTGACTGTGACATAGCTTTTGCACAGGCAGTGTCTTTGCCTAGGCAGCCCTTTCTTCTTTCTGATTCCCAACCCTCTCCCTTGCTCATAAACTCCTTCCACACTGGCCAGCTGCACATGCCCTTCCAGTTTGCATTCTGTCAGCACACAGGCTGGGGGTATCACCTCCCCCTGGATTTCTAAGGGGTCTGAAGGGTTTTCACATGTAGAAGCTTGGATCCCCCCTGATTTGCCATGATTCCAGCCACTGGTGTGCAGTCAGGGGGGTACCAAGTACTTACAGTGGCTCAATCATCTCTTCACACCTATGAACTTCTTAGGACAAAAAAAGAGGAGAGTGTGTGTTAACAGTTGAAATTGGGAGGCAAGTGAACACCTGATGAGCTTGAGCTGAATGGAGGGCTCCAAAAGCTCACAAGCTGTGGCCTGGGTTGCTTCTTTCACAAGCAACTCGTATCCTTGGTTACTGAGTTCCTAAGAGGGGTGCAAAGCAAATGAATGCTGCTGTGGGAACTGGGGGTGAGATCTATAAGCCCCTGGGATCATAGTCCTCATTTTTGTCACACAGGCTGTTTCTTCTCCTGCCTTCCCTTCTTCCATCATACTCTGCCTCACTTCCGTTTCTCACTTTCAGGAAAGAAGAAATCTAAATTTAAAGCCTTCAAGAGCTTTTTTGTCAACAAGAAGAAAAAAGAGACTGAAGATGCTCTGAGAAGGAGGATGTTAAAGCCAAGCTTGTCTGGCAGCAATATTTATATTTCTTCTTTGGAACCAGTCCAGGAAGGTGAACTAAATGACCCTAGGTAAGCTGAGATGGAATGCAGAGGGTGGGGTCATGGCCAGGGCAGGCAGTTAGATCTGGGTCCCCTTCTGGTAGCCAAATCACCAATGAACTTTTAGTCTCAGGGACTTTTGACCTCCCTTCTTCTGGGGGCCACGCTTGCAGCCTTTGCCAATGCAGCTGTGTCCAGGGATCCTCATCTCTGTGTATACACATGCTTGTTGTCTGGGCTGCACAGCACAATGGGGTGGAGCATGATGAATACACACTCCATTCCTCAATATTGAGTTGTTCCCGTCTTTGAGCTGTTATGAATAATGTTGCGATCGATATTTGTGAACAATTTTGTGGGCAGATATATGTTTTTATTCCTCTTGGTTGTATGCATAGGAGTAGAATTACTGGGCCAGATGGTAATTATATGTTTAAACTTTTGAGAGACCACCAGACTATTCTCCAAAGTGGTTTACCATTTTACATTACCATGTAAATGCAGTGTATGGGAGGGAGGGTTTCTCCATAGCCTTGCCAAAACTTAGTTATCTGAATTTTTTATTCTAGCCATTTCAATGGGTTTGAAATAGCACCTCATTATGGTTGTAATTTGTATATCCTTCCTGACTGATGATGTTGAGCACCTTTCCATGTGATGTTAGCCATCTATATCTATATGTCTTCTATGGAGAAATGTATATTCAGATATTTTGTTCATTTTTAGTTGGTCATTTCTCTTTTTATTATTGAATTACTTAATAGTTCAGTAGTAAGAGTTTTTAATAAGAAGAATTCTTCATATATTATAGATAGAAATCCCTTGTCAGATATATGATTTCAAATATACTTTCCCATTATGTAATATCTTTTTATTTTCTTTCTAGTAGCTTTTGAAGGCAATTATTTGGTACTAGGAATTAAACTTGAGCCCTGATACATGCTATGCAGGTGTTCTACCACTGAGCTGCATAGTCAGCACTTAGATTTCTTTTTTATTCTTATATTGGTACATTTTAGGTATACAATATGTTTACATTTATCATTGGGTGCTTGTGCCTGTACATGATGTATCTTAGTTCTTATTTTTCCCCCATTACCTATGCGCCCTTCACCCCCTCCACCCTTCCCTATTTACATAGATTTTGTTTCCATTTTTTTTCTTTTCTCATAATTTCTCCTTTCCCTTCTTCCCTTTCCCCTTTCCCTCCCACCACCCCTACACCTTTGAACACTTTCCTATTTCAAATTGTCAATTATTCACTTTAATCCTTATGTACACTTTCAGTTTCTCACACTAAAGAAACTATTTGGGATTTACACATGTGTGTCCTATTTATTTTACTTAACAGTATGGCCTCAACATGCATCCATTTAGCTATAAATGTCTCTAGTTTCTCATTCTTTATGGCTGGGTAGTACTCCATTTTATAAAAAAAATACCACATCTTCTTTATCCAGTTTCCAGTTGATGGGCACTTGGGCTGGTTCCAAGCTTTAGCTATTACAAACTATGGCGCTATAAATATAGGTGCACATATATCACGGTGGTATGATTCTTTTAATTCCTTGGGGAAGATACCCAGCAGGGGAATAGCTGGGTCAAATGGGACCTCTAGTCCTACTTCTTTGAGGTATCTCCATACTGGTTTTCACAGTGCTTCCACCAGTCTGCACTCCCACCAACAATGGAGAAGGCTTCCTTTCTATCCACATCCCCACCAGCATTTGTTATTGGTTGATTTCTTTTTTTTTTTTGGTACCGGGGATGGAACTCCAGTCCTTGTGCCTGCACAGCAGGCGGTGAAACCACTGAGCTAAATCCCCGGCCCCTGGTTGATTTCTTAATAGCAGCCATTCTTTTTTTTTTATATTAAATTCTTTTATTGGTACATTGTAGGTATACAACACAATTACATTTCTCACTGGGAATTGTACTCCTACATGATGTATCCTGGTTCCCAGTTCTTCCACATTCCTAGCCCTCCCTTCACCCCCTCCACCCTTCCCTATTTACAAAGACTTTATTTCCA